AATCTGGCAAATGTCTCCAAAATTGAATTTTTTGTGACTAACACGAGTGTTTCAGCAAAATAAATGATTTGTATTCAGAGGGCAACTTTTTAAACACAATCTTTTTTTTCTCAGGTGTGCTTATGCGAGTTTTCGTTCGCCATAAGTAACTATTTCTTTAGATCTTGACTGCTAAGCTGCGCAGACACTATACGGTGTTCACGTAATGCAGACGGCTACTTTATACACGTGTGCTTGTACCTTGTAATAAATATTTAGTTTCAAGATCAGCGCCTGCGTCATGTCTTCATTTCCTCGTCCATTTTAGGCACTGCTTTTCCTACCTAATGAGAACAACATGAAGCTGAGCACAAAAGCATGGGCATTGATATTAGCAGTGTTGTTTCCCAGAAGAGGTGAAAACGGTTACAACTGCTACAACTGCATACAACTGTATACTGCGATTTCCTTACGCAACCACAATTATTGGATGCGTAGACCGGTTGACGCATTCAGCTCTATCATTTCTCGAACTATCGCAGTCACCAGCGACTATACTGCAACGTTCGATGCTGAATGTATAAGTGTTGACGCATCTTGCCACGGATCAGTGTTTTGACGACGGACGTTCCGTGCTCCGATATTAGCATAGCTTGTATTGCTTGCTATAATTTGAGGTTTTGTCTCGTGGCCACAAGTGTGGCCAAATGAAGAGTTTCACCTCGAAGAAGCCGACTGCTGCATTCGACAATATATCGTATATTTAGTAGCAAGGAGAGCATATATATTTGCGCACGGGGGTGGTGTAGCTCCTCTCCCTATTCACCTAAAAGGTGGAGGGGGGTGCAAAGTTTGCCCCTGAGATTGCCTTAATAGCGAAGAGGCACTGCAATAAACGTCCCTGCCCTCTGAGAACCCTGCACACGCCTATATAGATGTCATATAAGACGGTAGTATGTGACATTCTCAAATATCATGCGGTCCTGCTTTATTCCCGTGGTATAAGTTCCAAGAACAAGCGCGTACCTGGTACATTTGGCTCTGATGGTGTCATTTATTGACAGATTCGTTTCACTTCCGGGAAAACTTCATGCGGAGCACATTTCTTCCATTGGCACAGTGAAATTTGTCCCTGTATGTTCCCTCGACAGATCCGCAGCTGCTCCACTGTGGGATGGACACGACTGAGGAACATTATCTACACCACAAAAAATGGCAGATTTGACCGGAAGCCGCAAGCACCCCTGCCCCAAAGCAACGCCGACATTGGGCGTGCCAGCGGGGCTGGTTCTGTCGGTCGCGCCTTGTTTTTCTAGCAAAGTGTCACTGTACCCAGTGTGCCCACTCATGCAAGAAGGGAGACGCGCATGGTGCATATGTTCTATATTCCGACCCAAGGAGGCATTAAAATATTACTTCTTGTTCTCACCCTGTCGTTTGTTCCAGCGCGACCACGTATGTTTGTAACAATACTGACTGTTGGCCTAGTTTCTTTACTTTGTGTGTGTGTTATTGCGGCCAAAGCATGTAGCATATGTTTCATTGATAGATTTTCTTCGGTTGCCCTTTGTTTGAGAGCGCCCCAGGCACAGAGTTTGTTGGCCACCATAAATACGCCGATAGGTGGCACCATGAACCATGCCGAATTCACATACATATAGAACTCTGTCAGGTTGACGTTAGGTATATTTTGGTTGTCGCGCCTCTCCCGACTCTCAAGGCAGATTACAATAATCTCTGCTAGCTGGTTAATGTGTATTTTAAAGGAAAGGTATAACTGTGGCAAGTTCAGATTAATAATTTTTGTTGACGTTTTCCACACCGAAACCACGAGATGGTTAAGAGATGCCATATTGTAGGGCTCTGGAAATTTCTATGGCCAGGGGTTCATTACCGGTGCCTAAATATTGGTACATGGACCTGAAGCAGCCTCAGCTTCATCCAAAATCGTATGTCACAACTGAAGATGAAGCTAAGAGAGCGAAATGATTCTTATTTTCACTGATAATACAGAATTGCATGTGATCAGTTGAAGAGACAGAGAAATAATGGAGGCCTATTTCATAGACAAGCAGAAAGATAAGTGTGTTAGCCACCCTTCGGGAGCCTTGCTAGTGAAAGAAATTTCGTTCATGTCTGTTATGAACTTGGTATCCTTATTTGTTATATGTGCGCAGTGCATTTGTTTTTCGGTTACCAGAGAGCACAGATCCGAGAGGTACAAAGTGAATGTTTTCTGAAATATAAACCAGTTTTAAATTGCTCCCGTTTGTGTTCTCTTCTATGTCCCTGTGTGCTTGCGCAAAAATTTTGAACACGGCCATTATAAGGTTGATCATAAATAAAATATGCCACCACGTCGCAATGTGCGCCAGTGTTTGAGTATTGTTTATAGCTGCATGTAGAATCAATATTCACAAACTGCACAATCAACTATTCTTGCCCAATATATCTTTAGGTATTACCAGCAACCCATGAAGCAAACATAATTTGTGTCACATGATGTATATGCGATTCTGTATAGCAGCATTTCTTCTTTAGGTTACACTACAAGAAAAATAACGAGGGTAAATGCCGTTTCTTTTGTACATAACAAAACTTGTGTCGTTTTTTGTGATCTTTCACACCACTCCCTCAATAACATTGTGAAAAAATTAAGGAAACCAAAGTACCAAGCCAAGCAAATGTAATTAGTTTCAAGTAATTGGTTGTATTGAATCTCAAGAATTTATTTTCAATTTTTTTAGAAATACAAAATGGGTAGTTGAATTTATGTACACAACTAAACAAGTTTTAATCTTTCCAGAACCAGGCCCTACCATACTGTCACTGGTAGATATCAAGTGCACCACAATTACGAAAGTTCTTAGCTATTTTCTGCTTATGCCAATTTACGTAGCCATCGTCCATGGTACGCAGAATTTTCCCCGGAAGACCTTTGCGCTGCTGCTGGATGTTTGGCTAACATTACGGCCACACATTTTATTTATTTCATCAGTATCCACAAAGTTATGCCAAGTTTAGTTGTGTCCATTGCATATCGCATTCAAGATTACAACGGCATATCGTGTTATAATACACGACATGTGGTGTAAACTAAGAGAAGCTGAAAGAAGAGCTGTTTAAGCACTTCTCTTAGAGCGTACAAATTGAATAACTATAATCCTCACAATCACCGTCTATATACCTTATTGCACCTTGCTCGGAAGACACACACTTTCTCAGTGCCAATTTTTAAGCGCAGATCACTCCACGGGGCCTGGTTGTCGTGTGCTGCCGTCTGCTGCCGCACTATCTCCTTGTACAGTGGCGTAACACAGGCATACCCTCTGATGGCATAGTCATCCACACCATATACACCTTTTCACTCAAGGCTCCCTAGGTGCCGCCATAGTCCTCTCTGGGCTGTTGTTAGTACGTGTGACCTCTTAAGTGAAGTGAAGTGAAATTAACTTTAGTTCGTCCTTGAGAACTGGTCAGCCACCCCCCCTAGAGGGGTACGCTGCAGTTAATGGCCGCGTTCACGCCGGGACCTGAAGACCGTGGCCCTCCACCCGTTCGCAGGCTTCCTGGACTGCTGAGTATTGGACTGAGAGCTCGGAGCTTTTAAGAGCCCTCTCCCAGTCTTCTTCAGTGCTGAACTTTGCGCCATGTAACGCCGGGCACTGCCAGAGCATTTGCGCGAGTGTGCAGATATGTGCCTCACAGGTAGGACATCTTGGAGTTTTGTCGTAAGCAAAGTGGCTGAATGTGCTACGAAATGGGAATTAACCTGCCTGTAGCACCCGAAGAACCGATGACTTCGGCAGAGTGAGCTTAGAATGCGGGAGCTGGTACCTCCGCCTAGAAAACTGATAATGGGACGTCACTTCGTTGAAGGCAAAGGCCCGCGCGGCAGCCCTGGTGCCAGTAAATATCTCCGGACGCGAAGGGCCTCTCATCGCTAAGGCTACCGCTACCTGCTCTTCTACGGAGGCAGACACTTTCCTCACGGATGCTGACTTGAGTACGCGACCACGATGATCAATGACTACCATCTCCTAAAAAATGCACTGCCACGGCTGTGACGTCGGCTTTTGTACTCTTGTACAACTGCCCAGAAAGGAGGAAATCCTTCTCTTTGTAAAAGAGGTCCTTTGAGTGCGAAATGGAAGTATTTGTCGTATTCTTCTAGCTCCTTGATGGTTATAGTAAAAGAAGTCTTTTTATCTTGTTCTTTGAGGCCCTAATGATGATGTTAAAGCAGACAAAAGCACATCTTGCCTAGCCAACAACTCTGCGTTGAACGCGCACTTGTGCCAAAGAGAATAAATAAAAGACATAAATACTCCTACGATACAAGGGTCATGTCGCGTTAACGTTAGTTGTTTTTTGTATTTTTTCCCAATTTATAGCAGTTTAATAAATATGACCCCAGTATTCCTATGATTCAGCAAGCTTCAACCAAGCATTGCACAGCCCTAGAAGAATAAGCTAACGAAAGTCGCGTATGGTATTTTCATCATTACTTCTGAAACTGCAGTTTCCTTAAATAGCTTCTAACGGCAGGAGAAATATTCAAAAACACAAGTTTCGCATTGTGTAAGTGTATATTCATTTCACTTAGAATCTGCATTTTCATAAATTTCATATACTCACTACATACCGCCTATTGGCGGCTGACTGCACGTGCAAGAACAAATATTTTTTGCGCAAAGTAAGAATCATCATCGTGAGCAACTTATATAATGCTATTTGATTCGTATGTAATTGCATGCTGCTGTTCTGTTTAATATAACCATGACGAAAAAAAAAGTTCAAGTAATTTTATATTAGACCTAAAAGAGCACGTATATTTCGCATAGTTCTGTATATGCTTATTTTTGTTTTGCTTATTTTTGCAAATAATTTTCTTTTTGAACGCAGCGCGGATCGCGAGCGTCCTAGATATCACGCTTTGTATAGCTCAATTATTCGCCCAGTAACATAATATGCAGGGCTTCTATGTCCTCGCCGGGAACAATGCGAGCCGACACCCAACACCTTGCTATCTCTCGCTCAACGCTGTGCTATTCAGCACTCGGCAAGATCTTGCGTTCTTTACGCGGTACTGCCAGGCAGCAGTCTTTTAATGATGATTCTAAGATGGTTTTTCGTCATCTCTTTCGCCTTACCGAACGTATTTGGTACGTTAATCAATTCTTGTTGAAATAATTTTGGTTATGCGTCACTGTTCCGTAACGTTTTAAACCTTCCTATATTCTTTTCCGGGATTTAGAGTTTAAACTCTCGCTAAGAAGTTCGAACTACAATGTGTGCTCAAGGTAATCCGTCAAATTTTACAGCCCAGCCTGAGAAAGGAAAAGGGTCATTTAAACGACCCGCATTTTGTACCAAACCCCTGGATCACGGACCATGCAGGGCAAATGTGACGTATTGGTATTTTCATGAAAAACATCACGAATGCAAGTTGTTTAATTATGGAGGCTGTGGCGGCAATCGCAACCGATTCTGGACCGAAAAAAGGTGCTACTATAGGTGTGCGGGTAAGTATGTGAATTTATTTTTCGTGTCTTTCCCTCAGTTGACAGAACCTTTCTTTATCAGTTTGGTGCTCTGAACATAGAGTCACCGGTATGTAGAAATACGTCATAGCAGCACACATACACTTCGCGGTATGACTTTTGTGAAAAGTAGACAATAAAGCTACTTAGCCTACTTCTCAGACTGGATAACCATCTGCAAATGGTGACTTCTTCTTTTTTTTTGGATTCCGTTCATCGCATAGTCAGTGTTTCATATATCGACAACAAGCCAGGTATTGCTCTATAAAAATAACGCTATCATTCCCACGTATTTTAATAAACTTTATTTATTCATTGTCCCACACTGTTGAAAATTCGTAAGTTCGGCTGGAGAAGTGCCTTATTTGTGCAAAGTTCACACAACTATTAGGAATTGATACGCACTCTATCATCAGCAGTACGCCACTTCATGGCCATGTTCAAGAAGATACTACCTCTGAGTGAGGCAAAACAGCAATGTTTCTCGATTGTTTTCTTGACCTACTTTGTGATCAATAATATTGCTTCTAGCTGGCTGTGATTCTCATAGTCCAATCAAGGTTCACGAATTTCGCAGGTCAAAATAGTTGATCGAGTGAGGCAATAATATGTAGCTAGGTGTCTCCGTTCTCCACCACATATGCTGCAGGGGAACTACAGAATGAAAGCGACAAAACATAGCGTCTACCAAGACAATGAAGGTGTTTTGCTTCTATTTTTGCATATTTTTTTAACTTCTACAATTCTTCGAGATATAATTGTGCCCAAGGTCAAGTGTGATGTCGATCCCTTGCAACACACGCCATCAGTCGTCGTTGTAGAGTACCTAGTCCTGTCGTTTTCAAGTGCTTTCATGTTTTGGCAGCGCTCGCAAATGGTCAAAGACGCCTTCTACTGATAGTCGCTGCATACTTGTGGACATTTATCTCTAATTCGGTCCTAAGAAGGGTATTGCTAGAAGTGTTACCTACACGTCACGTGGCTATATTTTTAAAAGGGCAAAGTGTCTCATCAGAAGGTAAAAGGTATCATCGGTGTAGTAGTCATCGTATTCAACGGGAAGGGCATCTAAATATTCATCATCAACTCCATCATTGTGTTGGTTGCGACTGTGTTCCCCTGATTGTACTTAAGAGACGACTCGAAAACCAAGGCCACAGGCTCCCCCAAACAGAATAAGATGCTTGTCATAATGACTCTTAGCATTTTAATACTGTTACTATTGTTACAATGACCAAGGATGATAACAACAATCATCATAATCTTTGTTACTTTCACAAAAAATCTTTCGGCAGCACCAGAATCTTTCGCATCCGATTCGCTTCATTGGAGCACGTAAGCAATCCTGCACAGTTTTATTTGTCCGTCTTAACATGGCATTTCAAATTAGCACTTTTTACAACAAAGGAGGCATTCTTTAGCATTTAAAGAATAAATGTTACAGCTCTTCGAAGTTTAGACTTCAATACCTGAAGGATTTCTGTCAGGCACTAAGGCGCATTGTGAGAACGAAAAAAAAAGTTTGTTTCTATATTAAACATGGGGTCTTTTCCTGTGTGTGCTCCTATTCTTAAATCACGGTCGAGTTTAGCATAAATTATTTAATGTCATAATGCAAAACTATTTGTAGAACTGAAAATGAAAATGATACGACTACATTTCAATCCTAGCTCTAGACATATGGACATGAAACTAAACGATATCTCAAAACCAAATTAGAACAGAGGGCAGCTGGATTGAGTACATCAAAATTTTTAATACAAAATGTATTTCTACAGTACTTACTTTATCAATCAGTTTCATCACCTAACAAGTTTTTTTACGAAGTTTAATTAGGCGCGGTGCCTATCAGAAGCACTGGATGTGCAGCCATTTCTAACACGTTAAGCTAAGAAACTTTATTCTTCTTGTACTGCAAGCGACCTGATAATGATAATAAGTACGGAACACTTTGGCCCTTCGGGCTGTCATATGCTGTCGTCATTAGAGGAGACACAGACAAAACTACCTAAAATATAAATGAAGAGGAGTCAAACTATAAATTTAAAGAGAGAACAATAAAGGAGAAAAGCAGGAATCAAAGTATAAAAATTAAAAAAAACAGAAAAAAGATCTAAAAAATGGAAATGCAAGACCAGAGAAACTAAAGAGAAATTTGGTTGCCAAGCTTTCCATTTTATTCAAGCTTCGCACCACCAGCATGAAGCTGCATTATTTTCACTTCACAACACTAACTTTTTTTAAATTGTCTACTTTTCAATTAGTTAGCCTGAGCACCAGTACTGTAGAAAATATATTTGTAGAAGTCCGCAAATAAGTAGTTCACAAAGGGCACGAACACAATACTTGGCTAGATTGGATTTTTTCTTTAGTTTATTATAAAGTATAATTTTCACAACCAATCAATAATGAGTGAACTTAGTCATGACTGCGTGAGTACTGGACGGCCGAATATTTTAATGTTTTAATATATACAGCCTCACAATTAAGTAAAAAATAAATATCACTTCAAGGAGAAACAGAGCACTTAGGCCTATCTAAAAACTACTAAAAATAATACAGTTTTTATGTCGGTGGTACAGGACTTGTGAAACATCTTCAATTATGCGGTGTGAGCTAATGAAAAGTTTTTTTTTTCAACCACCATTCTCGCAGCACCTGGTAGACAAAAAATTCTGTGCAGCGTATATCCAGATCCTAAGCCCTGTAACTCGACATTCCAAGCCTGGTACTTCAGCAAAAAGGATAATGCCTGCCACAGATTGCCAAGAGGGATGTGCACAAGTACCATCAACAGGTTCATGTGGTGCGAGAAATGCATGAACAGATGTAGTGGTGCGTATCATATAACTTTTCTGATGACAATATTATATATCTAGTAACAATTTGTGGGGTGCCGATTGCCAAAAGTATTATGATGATATGACTTACACCGCACTAGGAGACTTCCAATGAATTCTAACCCACTAGGGTTCCTTACCAAGTAGTTACCCGATAACGTCCGATAAAATGAAGGTGTTCTCGGATTTTGCCCACGTCTCTTATTACGGCCAGCGAAGCAGGGAATCAGGCGTTTGGCATCGATCCTATCAACGCACGCACTACACTCTCAGCTAGCAAAGTGACTGTAGTGAGTCATAAACTAAATTAATACCGCATCAGGCAGAAGTTTTCACAACAGTGAGCGATTGCCAAACAGCTTCTTCTCTACAGCGTTTCCACCCGTTTCTTCAGCTGTCAATGAATTCATGCTTTACCTAAAATTTGCTTTGAAGGTATTATTGTTTTATTTCAAACGAAATGAAGCTTGTCCATATTGAGATGTAAGGGAATGGATGTTCTTTTATCTTGTTTTTGAATTACTCACCTTTCCTCTCTAAAAAAATTGGCTGGTTATTTGACAAGGAACTTAATCTATGAAAGTGTCCTAGTTATATGTCATTGAACTAAATTAAACGAGATCTGCACTGTCATTGCACCTAAACACTGTTATCGGATAACACACTCATATACCTCTACCCCACAAGATAGGGCACATTGCGAGCAATACCGATTTTCTAATTTTCGAAACATTTTTTTTCTTTACGCAAAAAATGTCCAATTCTTCTAATTGCAAAAGATGTAACGTATGCGAAGCTCAGCGACTAAATGACAATATTCGCCTGACTAGCAGGTCGTAAAAATGTTATAACCCGCAAGCCGTGTTTAGCCCGTTCTGTAAAAAATAATGATGCGCTGTCAGGAGCACGTTATATTCGCTTGACAAAATTTTAAGGAATTCAGTATTACATTCCACGTAACAGAACGAAGGAAAGTGTTGTTTCGTTAGGAGGTTCCATATTAGTGATGCTGAGAGTGTCACTAAATAATTTACTTTGCCGTCAATCAGCTTCAGCGCTTGCATAAGGAGATTCCACTAGTAGGCCCAAATTGCACGCAGATCTTGTTTTCTTGGTTTTCTTTGTTTCGAGCGAAGAAAAAAAATTCACGTTGGTCTCGGAACACCGAACGTCGAACGATCGCCAAGCATAGTAGTGTCTCCAGCAAAGTGATTGTCCGCAGCAATAACAAACACAATGAAATAAATGACCGTTGCTTGTCTATTCGGGAAAGCTGAAGAAACGGGCACAGTTATTTTCGGGTCATTTAAAAATACACGCACTGTTTATAACACACACCTTTGAATTTTGCGTACGCAATTGTGTACGCCATGACAAAATGGGTTGGAGGACTCAGAAGGTAACAAAAAATAAATAAACCACTAAAATAATAGTTTAAACTAAATATAAATATATGTTAACCTCAATGATTGTAATATATAACCAGCATGTCACTTTTTCTCACATGCGAGGTAGCGCAACTGCGCAAAAGGATTTGTCTGCACGGAAGAGGCAGCGCAGCGAATACAGCCTATTCAGGAAATACGTGGTCGTCGGGAAGCCTAAATTTTAACGCCTAAACCATCTTCCCCTCTCCAGACGTTGTGTGTGCTGTTCTGTTTAAAAATTTTGTTTTTGTAGAATATGCCAGCACCCTCGCAGAAAAATTAGAAAACATGAAACAAATGGAGAATGAGCAGGGCTCTAGTTTTGATATGAAGAGAAACTTTCTTAGTCATAGTGATTGTTGGAACAATGTTGCTTTAGTAAATACTTCGGGAATACAACTCATATACATGTGACTCTTTGAACACGAAAAAGGCCATTAACACTTCGAAAAAGGATGAACTTGAAGGCAGAAGCGGACAGAGAACTCAGAGGTGGCTCTGCTTCAGTAGGTCAGTTTTTCGTTTTTCGACGTGTTAGTGGCTTTTTTTGTGTTTAACTATATACCAACTTGCCCAACAAGCAACACGTTTGAACACATCTACCTCAGTAGAAGTTTCAAGTCGCATTACGATTTTTTGCTTATACCTTAATGTTTCTATCTTTCAGCAATGCTTCATGGTTAACTTATACGCTGTCTTTGACGCATAATGCCACTGTTTGTGTGCATGTTTCAGCGGAGAACTCTAGGGCAGCCTGCAGGAGAGAGTACCAAAGAATTAAAGAAGAGGAGAACACGATAAAACAAGCGCAGACTCCGGCTGTAGTTGCACCGGGAGGAGCTGCAATCGGGACTTCACCGGGACTACCATCATCCGGCGCTGGGTCCCCTGCACCGACGTCACCTCCAGAAGTAGCCACCCAGGTGAAACCAGAAAATGTTCTTGGCCCTCCTGCACAGCTACCAAGTACACCATTACCGTTGCCGCCAGCACCCGCACCTGCTGCAGCAGGGCGAACAGAGTCAGGAACATCAAGACACGAGAACGTAGAAGCAATGAGTGGCACAACAGGGGCTGTGCCAGGAGTAGGTGGTCCGGCAAATACCTTACCAAACCAGGCACAACAAATAGGAGCGTTTCCTGGGGGTTCACAAGGTCTTAGCCCCACAATAGGAGATTCAGGGCCACTGTCTGAGACAAATGGCTTGGAAGAAGGCAGCTCTAGGCACTTAAGTCCGGTGGCTGTCACACACAAAGAAGAATACGGAGAAACAGCTCAAGGAATCCGGAGCGGACCTTGGCTGTCATAAAACCAACAGGACCGAAAAATCAGCAAAGTGGTCCGGCATTGGTGGAAATCTTGAGAGAAATACCAGGTGCCAAACCGAGAGTCAAATGGCCTTCGTTTGAGCTACCCTAACAAAAGCAGTTCTACTGCAGAGTAAACCGATTACAGTATGTTTGTTTGTTATTAATAAAACGTTAAATAACATGAGTGCTGGAACAAAAGTGCGCACACAGAAATGAAAGTCCAGCCTACACGTGATCAACAAGATCGCCCATACTCTTCTTTCAACCTATGTGAGCGATACCAACGCTACCTTTTGTTTCTACACACCACATCCGGTGATTATTACTCATTTTTTCATAGTTACTGGTTACAGCTTGAAAATTTGGTACGAAGAACAAAGATCTTTTTCAAAAACATAATTCTTTTTTTTTGTTTTCGACTTGCATTCTTGAAGGTTGCTACGTGACAAATTCCTAATAATCGCGAAACATTAGCAGTGAAAGCCCACTAAGCCAATCAGCAGTCAAAGAATGCGATGGGCACCGACATGGGAATATCAAGCAAATTATAGAAAATTTAAAAACTTTATATCAAGAAAAAGTATTAGAAGCATTTGACTTCTCGCGACATATTGCAAGCGAGCTCTTGCACGTGTGTGTCTCATCCACTGCTCTCATTTATTTATTTTGTTTATTTTTGAGTTTGATATCGCATTTCGCTACGCTCGCTCCTTACAGTTTTCTTCCTTTGTGCCGAGATCCTGAGTTTAGTATACATGCTTAGCCCCGCAACACTTCAGTTACTGCAGGTACTAATGACAATCATGCCTTCATATCCAGGTCGGCAGAATATACAGGCTGAAATGAGAGGTGACCTCAATGGATGGTCATATAAAAGAGGGATAATCTTCGAGAAGCGCACAATATAAAGAGCATCAGTTATAAGAAAACTGTATTTACAAATATTAACACGAAAACTGCCCATAAGACGCCGCCACAGAAGCATGCGGGTCGCAGAAATACTACTATATAGAGCTCACTCACCTAGTGCAGGGCGAGGCCATTGGTATAATTAACTCATTGTAAACAGCGCTAAGGAAATACAGTCAAGGAACACATGACGTAGGGCCAACTCATAGTCAACAGTACCTAAACCATTTTCACCTCAGTGCTTCAGCGGCTACTCTCATTCACATCTTCCTCTGTCGATGAATGTTGTTACCGCTATTTTCTTGCCCATATGATGCTCGCGCAAAAAAGCGATTAAGGCTGTTATCGCATCAACACACTCCCCCACACTCGCCGTCCTCTTTCCTTCAGGCACCGCAGTGCACTAATAATTTTTCCTGAATTCATTCAGAGAACTTCTCAAGCCACACTTCATTATCTTCAAAAAGCCAGTCATTAGAACAAAGCAAACATTACCTTTTCAGAGTAAAACTACAAGAACAAGTCTTTACGAGAATCTACGCATTCCTAATTATATGTCAATGTATTCTTATAAAGCAGTGTTAGTAGAAGGTAATGCTCTATTTTATCAAATGAATCGATGTTCAGCAGTCCTATTTTTTCGTTTGGCTATGTCAGTCAGAGTAGGAAGCTATTTGGAGAAGACAGCACGTTTCAACATGCTGGATTTATTTTCTAACAGTAATTTGCACATACTTGCGTGTCTTTATTGTGCGCCTTGTATTAGACTCACTGTATATGCTCAGGTAGTGGAGTCGCGCATCTGTTTTTCAACGCCACTAGCAACCATGCACTGCGGAGACGCTGATACACAGGCCGTACACGAAAACCATGGCTATGCCACCGCAAGTGGTACCGTCCACCTGAAATCTATCAAGTGATCGTCATGCTCTCTGTAACTCGTTAGCTGCAAACTGGTGTTTCAATTTGCTTTAGATTTATGTCCTTAAACTTTGGGCGCAAACTATTTGCGTGAACCCGGCACCATTTTCGAGAAACAGAGAAATAATCGATGTTTCATTCTTAGCGAGGCACTTCATAAATCTCGAAGGACACGCATTTGGTCTTTGTCAGTTGTTGCTTATTATCTATAGCTGAATCCACCAGACGTGGCAGCGGCGACGGTGCATGTCATTCGGCACTATGCTACGCTTTTCAACTTTTCATCACCGCACAGACTGAAAACATTTTTCTGTGCCCCCGTGGCGGGCACGAAAGCAGGTGTTTCCTCTTTATTCGCTGGTCGTTGACACGCCAGCCACTTCGACTAACAATCGGCGACATGCTTCATCGATAGGCGACAGGTTTAAGCAAGACACCTACAAAAACAGAGCACGGTGTCGCTGCCTAACAATGGTTGCAAGCCAGGCAAGATGGCGAACCTATGCACAACTCTGCTCCCGTAGGGAGCAAATAACAGGAACTCTACCTTTTATAAGGACGCCTGGACTTTTTCCGACCTAACTACCTGACTTTTCACGCAATAGTGCCCACATCTTTATGATGTAAATAAACTTTGATTGAAATGCATTTGATTTATTTAACCAATTTCGAAGCAATATGTTACAGATGCTGCAAAAGTAAAACGGTGCACCCAAGCTGTGGCCAAGCCACGGGAAAATGAATGCCACGTGCGCTCCGTTAGAGAAATGCTTATTTATTTTATGCCGAAATGATGCCACTGATGATTATGATGATGATAATATATATTTTAGTGACGCAAGGGTCAGCTTGTCGAAATAGCGCCATAAAAGATGTAACAATTGCTATGATCAGTTATGCAACAACACTTAGGGGATGAAAAGTAAACAATAGTGGTGGTGTTAAGTGGCAGTGTAATTTGGTTTAAACTCTTTCGCCCTAACGGTGGGTAACACGCATAAGTATTGAAAATATGCAAGTCACGGAACTACTTTTCATCGAAGCTTAATAACGTGTGGTCATGGTTACAAAACCATGAAGCATGAAAACAGCACGAATGCCTCTTCAATGCCCTTGAGTCCAAGGGCCACGAGGTAGCTGCTTTCTTTATGGCAGTCGCCGCAGCCGTAATCTCTGCTCAGAGGTCATGCTACGGATCCTTTGGGTATATCACATGATAGCGTTTAAAAAGCAGAAAGTGACTGATTTAGTGGATTTAGTGGAAATTGCTGTTGGCAGGGTGACGTAAAGGGTTTGTTTTTAATATCGTACAATTCGATGCACTGAATTAGCTTTCACACCTGGTTGGATCATCAACAAACAGAAAGTACGCACGTGTGGTATGTGTTGGTCCCATTCGCAGCCTTTAGTGTTACCTGTGTGCGGCGTGATTTCAATGCTACCGCTCAATTACCAAGGTACGGCTTTATGACGTGCAGTTTATTAACGTGATAGCGTTATAGAGCTCATTTCGCAGAATTTACGGTGTCGGCGTTTATGTCAGTGTCGTTGGTTGTGAATGAAAAAATATGATCCTCTGCGTGACCAAAAAAGCGAGAACAATGCAAATAAAAATGATGAAGAGCCCTGGAGCAGAGTGGAGACGGAACCAGGGCTGTTTGGGTTCAAGTGAAAATCAAACCCCGGTCACTTGCGTGGCAAGTGGTTTTCTACCAGACGTCTACGCCTGTTCGACCCTTGTCGTAGTACGTAACATGTCTTACTCTTTGACCTGCAAGGTGGTGCTGGAGGGAGATTTCTCCTGTGCGGGGTTAAACAATAAAAAAATTCGCATCGTGCGCGGTAACTAAAAGCCGAATTCTCCTGTCTCTCATTCCCCCTTAGAAGCCATTGGCATGTACACTGAGCACTCTCTGACAAGAAAGGGTTGCTACGTTATACTCGCTGGGCGTAACCTTCTTGGTTTTAGAAAGGTTTAGCGAGCGTTGGGCCGCAGTGCCATGAATACAGTGAACTAGTATATACCATGAACTTGAGGTGGTTAAAGGTGCGAAGTATACACGAAGCGCAAGGGACGGATGCACGGATAGAAGTGTGGACGCAGGAACAGACGCACGCGCGGACGGGCGGATGGACGCACGGACGGTCACACAGACAGACGCATGGACGGATGGAAGCAAGAACGAATGGGCGGACGGATGCTTCGCCCCACTCTCCACCATTCACCCCGTGGATATTCTGCCATTTTTTCTTTATCTCTGGTTAAACATCACACTCGGGGTGCTAATATAAATACTTTACAAAACACAACAATCATGACCGATAAATTACTACGACTGTCAAGCAGTGCTAAAGCACATCACGTCTTAAAATTTCTTCATGGTCAGTACGAATTCTACTCTCCCTAACCATAAAAGAACACACTCATTTGTTCTTACTACCTCGAGAAACCTTGAGATACTTTCTTTAAAATACTCTCTTACTGGTCTGTTGTCAAGGTTACAAAGAAATCCACCTATTTGAGATCGCCATATACTGTGAAAGGCAGTCATCATGATAAAATCAAAAGGTAATCCATCATCACTATCTATTGCCTAACACCCGATTCTATGGGGGTCGAAAGAAAACTATTTCTTAATTGGCCTGTGCTGTTAGGAAGGAGTATACGTTCGGGACGTATTACAAAGGACGTATTATAAAGCACGTGGCTACGCCTGTGCTTAAGAAAACAGTGAAAACAACTTCCTTTTCTTGGAAATGCAGTGAAAGTAGCTTTCACGCTTCACAAACACACGCGTCCTGTATACATGCTTCACAATGCAACATGAAATGTTGTGGTAATAATGCGTGGTACAAGCATTCATTACCAACTTGCGTCAGCCGGGACCCCCCCACAAAGCCGGTACCCCGCTACAAAAGGCACACACGCTACGGTGCCTATTTCTTCAGTGCCACGTATAGTGGGTGCAAAGCAAAAGCGAAAAGGTTTCATGCAATAAGTGTTTGAAACACGCACTAGGAACAAGATGTGACTATCGCGTTCAAATCCTAAAGGCGATGCTTTAGGATTCCTTAATTTTTTCGGGTTTTACTATATCAGGTAATCTGCCATAAGCTCCAAGCATTCGTTTAACGATTTGTCTCAGGCCAAGCACAGGGACGGGCATGCATGCATTGACAGTGCTTTCTAAGGTGGATGCTGGTACCTGGTCTGTCATCACATTGCCTTGGATGTCGC